CACTACCTGACATAGATGATATACTCTCTCAATTAGGAAATGCAAAGTTTTTGTCAGCACTAGACTTATCCTCAGGATTTCATCAAATACTTATGCACCCCGACTCGAAAAAATACACTGCATTTAGCACACCTCAGGGACACTATCATTATAACAGAATGCCATTTGGACAGCCACATTTCAACGAATGATGGACACAGCTCTGAGAGGACTCATTAACACTAGAACTACTACACCAGTCATTTTGACTGGTTTGACAACTTTATTTTAAAATTCCTACTTCATGTTACATTTTTTCTTCACAAATTTTGTATCACGGCTACTTATACCAGTACCAGTCAAATTGACTGGTAGTGGTCAAAGTGTAAAACGGTTCTATAATCTGTTTACCGATACCGAATTCGTTTATTTAGATGGTTTATTAGATATCTAGATAGGTTTATAGGTGCCTTATTAGGAAACTTTGTTGCACGCCACGTTTTGTCTGGTGCCATAACATAAACATTGCGTAACATTATGTTACGTTACATAACGTAAACATAGCTGCGCTTGCCGGTCATTCACCCGGTCATTCTGTAGAGCACAATCGTTGGAATAAGATCTGATTTTTCGTTTTATAAAACAATATTTTACAAGCCTTGAAAATGAGTAAACAAGTGAAAGCATCCGAATTGTTGCAAAAACTGAAAAGGATACCAATGGAATGCTCCGATATCGAGGATAGTGAATTCTTTGAGTGTGAAGGAAATGAACCAGGGGAAAAAGAAATTGAAATTTCTAATGATAACAGTAATAGTGACAAAGAAAATGAGTCCTCAGAAAGTGAGTCAGAGAACATTTTGAATGTACGCAAAAGAAGACGTGCTCGGGTGCTTTCAAGTTCTGAAAGTGAAACTGAAAATGTACAAGCTAGTCCAATTGAAATTGCTGTAGACGGAACCAGGTGGGAAAGAATTCAAGAAGAGTCAGCTGTGGGAAATTACCCGTGCACAATATATTCAAAGACACATCCAGGATATCCACAGGATATGCAAAAAGAAATATCATGAAAGATAAAGTAATTAGCGCATTTTCCCTGCTGATTGACAGCCATATGTTGAAACATATAATATCTTGCACCGAATCAGAAGCCTCTCGAGTTTTGGGTAAAACATGGACCCTTACAGAAACAAATTTGAAAGCATTCTTTGGAATATTGTACGCACGCGGAGCATACGAAGCGAAAAATTTGAAACTTTCGTATTTGTGGAATACAAAATGGGGACCAAGCTTCTTTTCCAGCACAATGAGTCGAAATGAGTTTGTTGAAATATTGAAATTTATTCGATTTGACAAAAAAGATGATAGAAGTCAACGTTTGAAAAATGACAAGTTTGCACTAATATCAACCGTATGGGATAAGTTTATTGAAAATAGCCAAAATTGTTATAAACCTGGTGCAAACATTACAACAGGCGAGCAACTTTTCCCAACTAAAGCTAGGTGCAGGTTCACGCAATATTTACCGAATAAATCCGACAAATTCGGAATTAAATTTTGGCTGGCAACTGATGTTGAAACAAAATATATTGTAAA